ATTTTTTTTTAATATAAGTTCCAGTAAAAAAAAAAAAAGATTATGTATTTCAAAACATTTCAGATTAATTCACTATACCTAGTTGAAGTTGCAACAATAGATAAAAAGAAAAAAAAGATTTTAACAATTCTTCATGGCTTCTTTTTAAGACTCCCTGTTTTCAACACCAGAAAAGGTATGATTACAAATTCTACTTCATAAAGCCTTAAATAAAAAGCTTTTTTTTCTCTCTTAAAAAAAAATATATATATAGGGAGAAAACAAAACAAGTCCAGATGACTCACAAACTAAAAAATATTTCATTAAAATACACCAGTGGCCAGACGTGGTAGCACACAACTGTAATCCCCGTGGCTTGGGAGGCTAAGGCAGGAGAATTGCAAGTTCAAAGCCAGCCTGAGCAACTTAGTGAGGTCTTGTATCAAAATGAAAAACAAAAAGGGCTTGGGATGTGACTCAGTGGTTAAGCATCCCTGGTACCAGAAACAAACAAGAACCTAACCAGTAGCAGGGTTGGGATGTAGCTCAGTGGTAGATCACTTGCCTGATATGCCTGAGGCCCTGGGTTCACTTTACAGCACCAAAAAAAAAAAAAAAAAAAAAAGCAAAGCCAAAATACCCACACTAGCTTTGTAAGATAGGCTGAAACCAACAATATAGCATGACACACCATATTAAATGCAAATGATGACACACTCTCTTAGAGGAAGTCCTAAATTTCTATTGCTACTAGTGGTGCTTAGCTACATCATTCTTCATGGAAAAAAACCCATAATTTCACCAAACTTGCATTTTTTTTTTAGGAATCACAATTTAAGAATATTACACAGTTTTGCTTTAGATGCAATTTAAAGAACTATGAGCCTATCCTTCAATCTTGTACCTTCTTGTTACCAGTCATTGACAGTGAATGACATTAATCTTGAATTTTCTTTTTTAAAATTTAAGGTAAAAATAACCTTAACTTCAACCAGGCCTCTTGGCACATGCCTGTAATCCCAGCAACTCAGGAGGCTGAGGGAAGAAGGAAGGTCTCAAGTTTGAGGCCAGCCTCAGCAACTTAATAATACTCTGTCTCAAAAAATCAAATAAAGAGGTTGGAGATACAGCTCATAGATAGAACATCTCTAGATTTGATCCCCAGTACCAAAAATAAATAAATAAATAACCTTAATGCTAACTTATTTTTTTCCTTAGAATTAAAAGCCAGTGCAAAAATATAAATTGGGTTCCCAGAGCTAGTGGCTTTGGGGGGCGGGGGGCTTCTGAACCAATTGATATGAGCAGCTCTCTCATATGTTTATTTTTTCACCTAATAAGTGAAGAGTAAAACTTAGACTTAACCATTTAGAAACGAACTCCTTTTCCTGCTAGGAGTCCCCTGATGGTAGCTTTACCCAGAATCTGCTTTTCTTTCCAGGAGGTAACTTTGATATTAATGCACATTTGAGTTTGTCCTCTCCTACTATAATTAGTGTCTAATTTTGTCTAAAAAGACTATCTTAGAGGAGTGTTTCCCCAAATGATTGAAAGCTTTCAAAACATAATTGAAGTATTGGAATGATTTTGTGACCTTTGTGACTGGTTTTTAGCCTTGGGTAATAAGTAAAATATCAGTAACCAAATATCCAAAGTCTACCAGGGAAAACAACTTTAATATCAGATAGATCTATAGATCTAAGAAGTTGGAATGAGATTTTCTTTGCTAGGGAAGCAATGTCAGGTGAAAGAGAGCCTTCAGGCTGGTGGCTCCTGCTGAGTTCTAGGTCAGTTTTGTCATTCGAGAGTTTAGTTCCATAGTTAGTTGGGAATCATATATACACTATTTCTTTTTCAAAATGTTTGTACTCAGCTGCATATGGTTTTAAAATATCAGTTATTTGTTGCTTTCAGACCACCCAATTAGAAGAGGTTCCATTTCACAGGTGGAAAGACTGAATGAAGAGCTTAGGTTAGTGGCTGGTTGAAGGTCTCACAACAGAAATCAGTGAGAGTCTATCTCTAGTTTTGTTCTCAAATTTAGGGGCAAGTTTTCCCTTATGTTTAATGTTAGCCTCTGCCCTCTTTTCTGACCCAATCTACAAGAGTTCTTTTGTGCTCTAGTTCTTTAAATGCCCTTTTGTTTTCAAATAAAGTGCCCCTTTTCTTTTCTTCTGTTTTTCTTAACCCATTTTAATAGTCTTGATGTAGTTGGGGACTCGGATGGGCATAACTTCAAGTAAAATTTAAAAATAAACCTTATTATTCCTTCAGTCTTGGAGGTGGAACATTCCTAGGCCTATGTTGCTTGCTGACTGGTTGTGAGACCTTTGAAGAAGCTCTGGAAATGGCAGCTAAAGGCGACAGCACCAATGTTGATAAGCTGGTGAAGGACATTTACGGAGGAGACTATGAACGATTTGGCCTTCAAGGATCTGCTGTAGCATCAAGGTAGAGACTAAGTAGCTAGGAGCAGTAGTGACTATACATGAGGCAGCCTCTCCACCCTGGCCATTCATTTATTTTTTCAAATGTCAGCCCACCAGCCTGGTGCAAATATCAATCATATCAGATCTCACACTTGATTTCCTGTCCTTAATGAACACTGAGATGTTTAGCCCTTGATGCTTGTGCTTAAAATAAGGCAACTTTGAAAGAAGGTTCTAGAAAACTACAACAGTTATCTCTGTTCCATTCTTGTCCAGATATCTAGAGGTATTAAAAAATTTCCCTACATTATAGCCATTCTACTTTGTCCCTATTAAGAAAGGGGCAACCAGCCATTCATACTGTAATCTTGTCTGCTTGTAAACCATGATAGCAAAATCAGGTAAATTGAGCTTGAACAGAGATTCATAGAGCCTTCCACAGTGCCTTGGTGGAAGCACAGATCCTGCCTGAGGATGATTTTGAACGCTCTCACTAATATTTCCAACATAGCTTTGGCAACATGATGAGTAAAGAAAAGCGAGATTCCATCAGCAAGGAAGACCTCGCCCGGGCCACCTTGGTCACCATCACCAACAACATTGGCTCCATTGCTCGGATGTGTGCACTGAATGAGGTAAAGCCTTAACCTGGGGAAAGCCATGTGTTTTTACTTATTATATAGTGTGATAACTGTTGACTCTTAAGAAACTGCAGATCCTTGGGAAATCTGCTCTTTATTATATAGTTACACCTTAGAGAATAGGAGGTGTGTGTGTTGGGGGAGGAGGAAGAGTATGTGTTATATTTTTAAGCAGACACAAGCTGACAAATGGTAAACCATTAAACTGTAGAAACATGGTAAAATTCCAACCCATGTCGCAGCCTCTCTAACCATCATTATGGCCCTGTGTTCACTGAAATGTGAGCAAAAGCTTTGGGCATCCTTGCAAATAATTCCAGATAAAATGCTTCCACTTGCAATGTCCGATATTCTCTTTGCTTTCAGCTTCTTTACAGTGTTGCCTTGTGGCATGGAGTTCAAGCAGCATTGTACAGGGCTATCAAAGCACAGAGAGCTTGCTACAGCAGAGGCTAGCCAGAGACCCAGGCACAAGAAGGGGTGGAGCTGGTGACAAAGCTTTACTAACATTGTTTTGAAACACTGCAAAATGGAACCCTTTTCTGAAATACAAGATTTGTAAAGTAGAACCACTCTCTCTTTCACCGAGGTCTGTCAGGAAGACAAGAAAAAGAAGTTGGGGTGTGGAACAGGTAATAGGAGAAATATTACTGATAGTAAATCAGTAACGGAGTTTGAAGTATGTAATTATATGACATACTCACAGAAGAGGGCTCAAATTCTAAGTGTACAGCTCGATGAACTTTCTCACAGACACACAACCTGTATAGCCACAACCCAGATCAAGAAATAGAGTAATACAGATACTTTGAAACCCTTCCTGGCCCCTCCCTGTTGAATAGTGGAATGTCAGGATAGGAGGCATTCTTTGTTATGGGTGGGTGGTAACCTTGCCTTTGAGCTTTGGGATTACAAAAGAGGCACCTTCTTTACAACATTCCTAGCATATTTTGCTGATTTATGGGTCAAGGTCATAACTTTTTGGAAGTCCTCAGTTTGGGGATTAAGTGGGAGGCTGATAATTAGGTAAAAGTGTATTCCAGAGATATGCCCTTTTGAAGTCCACTTTGGTCATGAGATTCATTGTAACAGAGAGGTTATTTTTTTGGCATTAACCTAGAAAGGGTGTTTATCCAAGTAGCCAAACAAGCCCCACTACTAATATGTGTGTAGCTCGCTGTACTCACAGGCTCTGGAAGGTCAGATACACAGTTATGTCCCTTGCCACGTAGAGCAATAGCTGCCCTTTCCCCTACTTGCCATGGAGCGGCCTTTGCCTTGCATTTCTGGCTGAAGTGAGCCAGCAGGTCTCTCCACAGGTATCATAATCCCTTTAGGGAGGAAAACAGATTTTATTTTTCACTACATGAAAATGTAGTCATGTTGTATACTGGTTTGAGTAACTGGATGTTTCTGTTGGAGTTTAATGAATGAAGGCACTTGGCCATTACCTAGGGGCCAAGGCTCCATTAGAGGGTGTTCATTCAGTGCTGGTTCCCAGGGGACACACCAGTGACCGGCATTGTTCCATTGCCCTGTGAGCACAGTAACTAAGTCTTCTGTCCTTGTGTTGCTCTCTAGATTCACTGACTTGAGAATCCTTGACTCCAGCCATTGCATGGATGGGGGCACCATGTTTATGTTTTTGTTGTGATGATTGGAATGCTGTGAAATACTTTTCCCTCCACTTTAAAGCTTCATATTTCTGTTTTTGAATAGATAATATAAACATCTGCATTTTGTGTTTATAAGACAGCAGAATAAACATACAAGGAAGTGAGTTACCATTTCTACCCTATCACTCAATAGGAACCTCACTAGATAGAGGCAGCCCTTTGTTTTAGTTTTTGTTTGTTTCTGAATAAATATATACTTCCAAAGGTAGCAAACTCTACATAACCTTCTTTTTAAAAATAACAGCTTTGCTAAGGTATAATCACATTCCATACAATTAATTCACTTTCTACATACTATTCTACATCTTGCCTAATTTCTCAGCTTTTTATTATGAAAATTGGTAAACATGCATAAAGGGATGAGAATAGTTCAGAGAACCTCCACATGTCCAACAGCTCAGACTCAGCAGTTATCAGGACTTTGCCACAATGCTTTATGTATTTTTCTTTCTCCTTCTACTCCTCTCAATTCCTTTTCTCTCTCTCTCTCTCTTTTTTTTTTTTTTTTTTGCTAGAATATCAGAAAGCAAATTCTAACCATTGTATCAGTCTATCTGTATTTCAGTGTGGATCTCTGAAAATATTGCCTCTTGCTTTTTTACATAACCTATCTTGAGATTGTTCATATCAATATATTTTAAACTTTCATTTTTAATGACTATATAGCATCCTAACATATTGATATGCAGTTATTGGTTTGGTCACTTTTCTAGTGATATTTGTTTTATTTCTAGTCTCTGAAAAGCCTGCACTGTATTTATTTATGAATACACACATATTTGTATACACACACGTTTTGCATATATGTCAATATATCTGGCAGATAAACTCCCAGAAGGGAAATTGCTGAGTCAAAGGATATGTTCACTATAATTTTGACAGATATTACAAAGTGCCCTTAATAAAAGTGGTTTTAATTTATATTCCCACCAAGCAGAGCATAAAAGTATAAGCTTCTTTACCCATTTTTATATTACATTGTTGTTTTTTTTTTCTTATTCGTTCATAGGACCTCTTTATTTGATAAAAATACATTTTATTTGACATGTACTTAAAATTTTTGCTATTTATTGCTTTCCATTTGGATTTGCTTGAGGTGATGTTTTTCCTCTGAATTAAGTGTTTAAAAATTTTAAAGTAAATATATCAATTTTCAATGAATTCTTAGTATTATATCCCTTTTACTTCGATATTATTTTTAGAAAGAATTTATTCTTTCTTCTAATGTCTTTATTTTTTTTCCTTTTAAAAAAAACTTTTTAAATTTGTTGTTGTTGTTGTTGTAGTTGGGCACAATACTTTATTTTACTTGTTGATTTTTAGGTAGTGCTAAAAATCGAACCCAGTGCCTCACACATGCTAGGGAAACACTGTACCACTGAGCCACAACCACAGCCCAAACATTTGCAACTTTTAATCACCGGAAATATATTTGAAACATGGAATGCTTCTCAGTTTTGTTTTGTTTTTGTTTTTTGTAAATACTAGGGATTGAACCCAAGGCCACTCCACCGAGCTATATCCCCAGCTCTTTTTATTTTTTGTTTTAAGATAAGGTATTGCTAAATTGCCTAGACTGGCCTTGAGCATGTGATCCTCCTGCCTTACCCCCAAAAGTAGCTGGACTTACCGGTATACACCACCACACCTGGTGCTCATCAGGCTTTTGTTGTTTTTGTTGTAGATGAACACAGTACCTTTATTTTATTTATTTATTTTTATGAGGTGCTGATGATCAAACCCAGTGCCTCATATGTGCTAGGCAAGAGCTCTACCACTGAGCCACAACCCCAACCCTCTCATCAGCTTTTAATGCTACTTCTACTCCTTCTGGCTTCTCCCAGAGTAATGCAGGACTCAACTTTGAGCAAGTCCTACCTTGAGCTCTAAATTTAATCAAATTCTTTTTTAAACTGAGTTTCTTACTTTGAGTGTTCCTTTCCACTTCTTAGTCCGGATAGTTTGTGACTACAGTTYTATTTTTAATAAAAACTTATTAAAATTACCTGACCCCTCTACCCATAGGAAATTTCCAGTGGCTAATGGCTTCATAAATGTGCATTGCTAAAACTTAAGACAGTTAAAAGGCGATGCTCCCAGACCTTGATTACTCCTGATAGACTGAGCAGAAAATAATGGCACTTTCAAAGACTCTTGCTTTTGATGTAAGCAGTCCTAGCAACTGGCACTCTTCTGAGTGAGTGGTGAGCAGCCTCTGCATGCAGACAGGCTGGGCTCAGTCTTAAGCTTAAGAAGTACCTGGGAAAGTAGGRAGGGCTGCTAGTACAGCTGGAGGGGAAGCTTGCAGGATTTGAAGCATGTCTGCATGGACAGGAGAGGAAAGGAATATTCTTAAGTGTGTGTTTAGAATGCAAATCTATATCCATGGTAACAAAAAATACAAATGGAGTTTTTTAAAAATATTTTTTGGTTGTCAATGGACCTTTATTTAATTCATTTGTTTATATGGGGTGCTAAGTGTCGAACCCCGTTTCTCACACATACTAGAGGAGCACTCTACCACTGAGCCATGACCCCAGCCCCATAAATGGAGTTTTTGTTACCATGTTTTAACCCATACGTGGACCAAACAGGATATTCCACCACCATACATCCTGAGGGCAGAGATGGAGTGTTGTGTCCTTCTTATATCCCCAGTGTTCAGCCTAGAGTAAACAGCAAAAGTCATTTGATGAATCCACCATGCTATAGCCGTTTCTTCTGTGAGTTGGTTGTAATTATATTTTATACTTGGAAGTTTAGGAAATTAAGAAATGCACAAGAAAATTTAGCTAAACTTGAACTTCAGTTATGATGATATATATTAATTATATGGAGCTGAACTACATGTCAGACCCAACACTTGCAAACAACCCTGATGTCAGTTTCTGCTTTGTCCAACTAAAATCGCCCCCTCCTATCCTTCCGGAGTGCACTGTGAGGTTTGCTCAGCTTCATTTTGGAGATACCAATGTGGTTCACTGTGCAAACTTCTGTACAATGACATACAGAACATTGGGATCTTTGCCGATGGTATTTTTCTGCCATGATTCAATGGTTTGTCTTTAATTTTTTTTCCAGAATATTGACAGAGTTGTGTTTGTTGGGAATTTTCTCAGAATCAATATGGTCTCCATGAAGCTGCTAGCATATGCCATGGATTTTTGGTCCAAAGGACAACTGAAGGCTCTGTTTTTGGAACATGAGGTGGGTTGAGCTTCCACAGACTGAATTGTTCTACATGGAGTGTAGAATTGACTAACATATGAGTGGGTCTCTTCATTTTATAACTGGTCAAGTAGAAATGTTGCCAATTTAAACTTTGCATTTATGCAAAGGATGACAAAGAGCTACAGAAAGTTTGGGGGCAGGGGATAGGATGCTGAGTATTGAACTCAGAGACTCTTCACCACTGAGCTGCATTCCGAGTCTTTTTTATTTTTCACTTTGAGACAGGGTCTCTGTAAACTGTGAGTCTTGCTAAATTGCTGAAGTTGGCCTCAAATTTGTGGTCCTTTCGTCTCAGGCTCCCGAGTTGCTGGGGTTCCAGGCATGTATCACTGTGCAGGCTTGCCAGAAAATGGAAGCTTTTTATCTAATAATTAGGACTGGTAGTTGGTTAATTTTTAAAAAAAGCAACTGGAAAARTAGATTAATATAACCCTTGTGGAAAACTGTGGATGTTTCTCAGAAACTACCCTAGGACTTAGCAATCCCACTTCTGGGTATTTACCCAAAGAGATTTGAAATCAGGGTATTGAAAAGTTGTCTGCCTGCCAATGTTTATTACAGATTATTCACAATAACTAAGAAATGAAATCAATCTAAGTGTTCATCATCAGCAATACATGAATGGATAAAGAAAATATGATATCTAATAGAATACTATTCAGCCTTAAAAGCAAAAGAAATTCTGTCATTTGTAACAACATGAATAAAATTGGAAAACAAGATGCTAAATGAAATAGGTCAAACTCAGAAAAATAAATGTCACATGTTCTCACATGTGGAATCTTTTTCTTTCTTCTTTTTCTTTCTTCTTCTTCTTCTTTTTTTCTTTTTTTGGTACAAGGATTGAACCCAGGGGTGCTTAACCACTGAGCCACATTCCCAGCCCTTTTTTATATTTTATTTATAGAAGGTGTCTCATTTAGTTGCTAAAGCCCTTGCTAAGTTGCTGAGGCAGGCCTTGAACTTAASATCCTCCTGCTTCAACCTCCTGAGTGGCTGGGATTATAGGCGTGTGCCACCACACCTGGCATGGGTAGAATCTTAAAGAACTGAACTCATGAAAGCAGAATGGTGGTTACAAGAGGCTGGGAGTTGGCAAGAATGAGGAAATGATGGTCATAGGGTACAAAATCAGATAGGAGAAGTAAGTCTTTTTTGAGATCTCCTGCACAGTGTGGTGAACAGTGTATTGTATATTTCAAAATTGTCTTGAGACTAAATTTCAGATATTCTCACTGCAAAAAAAAAAAATGGCTAAGTATTTGAGGTAACAGATATGTTGGTTAGTTTGATTTAATCATCCCATTGAATTGAAAAGTCATAATATCACTTTTGTACCCCATAAATATATATAATTACTAATTGTCAATCACTGATAAAATTTATTTATTTACTTACTTATTTATTTATATTATTGTGGGGATTGGGGCCGGGGGCACTCTACCACTGAGCTTCATCTATAGCCCTTTTCACTTTTGAGACAGGAGCTCAATAAGTTGCCAAGACTGACCTAGAACTTGTGATCCTCCTGCTTCGGTCTCCCAAGTTGCTGGGATTACAGGTGTGCACTAACATGCCCAGTTTTAAAAAAACTTTAAAGTCAGTTAAAATAGGTTATCATTTAAAAAAGTATCTCCCTACTCTAATTATTTTAATTTTAAAATGCATAAATGTTTATCTACTTACYAGTCTTTCAGTGTAGGACCAAAATTCCATTTTTGAGAATGGTTTATGTGATTAGGGCACTACTGTTTTCTCTAAGTATGTAACTTCTTGGATTTTCAGTTTGTTTCTTTTAAGTGGATCAAGAAAGATACTTATGGAGCAGTTAAGTTGTAGAATCCTTCTAGTTTTTTTCCTCGTTCGTGTTGTGGCATCCACCTAAGTAAAGAGCAATGGCTTGTGACTACCTTTTTCAGCTTTGCTGAATTTTCATAAAACTGATCATCATTTTGCACTTTGTTGGTTTATATGGTCATAATTAGATTGTTACCTAAACAATGAAACCCTTAAAAACAACTGTGAGATAAACACAGCTGATTGTTGGCAAGTAAGCAGCTTCACTGGTGAGAACAGATATTCTTGGGCTACTAAGAGGAGCCTACCAGCCTTGAGAGGTGAGCGTATCTGGCTGATATTGACCTTGTTAACGTGAGAAACAGCACCAGTTAATACAGGGCATCTTTGATAAGGGCATTTCTACATAACATAGATCAAGTGGGGGGCCCTCTTTTCTTTTCCCCATTGCTTCTATCCCCCTTTAAAACCAGTGCTGTATACAGCTAGTATTCATCACAAGCAGTACCTAATCTCTTGTGCATATTGCTGCAGAAAAATATTGAGAACTAGTATTGTAAATTTCAGTTGTAATGAATGGCATTTTCTTATCTTCCAAACTAAATTATTTATTTGAGAAGCTACTGGTAAATTTAGAAGTTATTTAGAGATCTTTACATCCATATTTTGTTTTCTTAATGTATATACAACAGTGAGAACTTAAATATAAATAGGTTCCCATGATAGAAATTAATACTGAAAGTCCCTTCCTTCCTTCCTTCTTTCTTTCTTCCAGCAGGATTAAAACCCAGTTATGTAGCTTGTTTTGGTTGAAGGATAATAAGATCCCAGAACCTTCATTCCTTCATTCCCCCAAAGAGAACAACTCTATGATTCTGCTTATTTATGAAGTTTTCATGATATAAGGTTTTGTTTGAAAAATAGAGAAGCATCACAGCTTTAAAAAAACATAATTTAAAAGAAAACTACTGTTCTGGTCTAATACAGTTGCCGTATTTAGCAGTAAAAAATGCAGGATGCTTGATTATTTTATCTGGCATTTAACTGTACTTTATTCGGCAACTTTATGTCCAGATCTTCTTGCCTTAATGTAGAGAACAAGACATAGAAGCTGGCAGGGACAAGAAGTCATCTCCAAGGTCAAAGAAGTAGTTGGTGGCAAGATAGAAAACAGATCCAACGTTTTAGGAAAACTCAATTCTATAGGTCAACATGTAGTCAGTCACCAGTATCACTGAACCATCCTAAACCATTGTGGATGGTGAATTTGATTTATTACCATTTATCATAACTCAGACTCTCCAGCTAGTGAATTGCTTAAAAGTGTTCCTTAGAAAATTTTCTACATTCTTAAGTTCACTCTGGGTTAGACAAGCCTTACCAGAGACTATTATGGAGGGATAACTTTTGGGAGACTCTGATTTAGTTGGTGGCTTTCTAGTCACTTGCCCTGCTGTTAGGAGACCTTACTCACTCAATTTCTCTTTCATTCAACTAATGTTATGGTGGAACATCCTTTAAGTAGTGTAGCTAGCAGTTCAGAGCACAACTTTTATTGACTGTGAGATCTTAGATTATGATATCTCTCCCTCTGTTTTAACATTTGCAAAATGAAACAATAATATTTGTCTCATAGAGTTACTGTGATGACTGAATGAGTACTTCCACCTCACATGCTTAGAATAATTTCTAGTGCCTAGTGAGGCCTCAATCAACCTTAGCTGGAAGCAGCAGCAGCAAAGGCCCTGACATGTCCTGATACATTTGCACCTATCTCAGCAGTAAATGCAGAGTCTGGTAAATGCCAGAGGGTGAAGTCTCCAGACTTTTGTAAAACAACCCAAACTGAATATTTGTGTGTTGTCCCTCCCAACCCAATTCACCTGTTAAAACACTAATCTTCCAGAGGATGGTATTAGGAGGTAGGCCTTGGAGAATGGTTAGATCATAAGGGTTGAGCTCTCATGAATAGGATTAGCATCCTTATAAGAAAGGCCCAAGAGAGCTGCCTTGCAACCTTTGGCCATGTGAGATTACAGTGAGAAAGACAGCAGTCTATGAAGAACTGGCCCTCGACAGGCATCTTGATCATGGACTTCCCAGCTTCCAGAAGTCTTAAGAAATAAATTGCAATTGTTTCTGAACTACCCTATCTTTGGGACTTTTATATATAGCAGCTCAATAGGCTAAAATGAAAGTTGCTAAAATGTGTTTTTAGTTTCTTTTCATCTTCACAGAGCTTGGGCTTACGTTTTACAGATGGGCAAAATGAGGCTGCAGCTGACTTAAGGGCCTTCCTCAGATTTTCTGAGGGAAATTTAGGGTTTTCTTCCATGAGATGCAGATTTGATGTCAGATAAACGTGGGTGTTGAGCCCTTCCACAAGTCACATAACCCTGACAGGGTAATTTATTACCTTTCTTTTCTCATCTGAAATAATAATGTGGATTTTGCCATGGAAAAGGTTAAATTGAAATACAGCTATAATAATAGAAGTATCCAGCACTTAGCACATAACTTGTGCCAGATATCTTTCTAAACACTTTATATATTTAACCTGTATAGTACATATATATAAGCAAGTAGTCATTCAAATAAATGTATTGTTGTTGCTGTTGTTATTCCACCATGTATGTTTGTTCATTTTGCTGTACTGGGAATTGAACCCATGGCCTTACACATGCTAGACACACTCTCTATCACTGAGCTATATCCCCAGCTTAAGAATTCAGTTTTAAAATTTTCTCTTTCCTGTAAGGGGCACCATTTCTAGAATTATGAAAAATAAGAGGTCTTTGGCTAAGGTTCCAAGACATTCCCACAGAAGTTTTCCTTTATTTTTGTAGGGTTATTTTGGAGCTGTTGGGGCATTGTTGGAACTGTTCAAAATGACCGATGACCAGTAGAAATGAGCAGTAGAGGGAACAGCCTCCTGTGAGGACAGAGAGCTGAAAGGTACTGCTGGAGAAGGAGAAAATCGCTGTGGATGGAAGCCAAGCCATTATGGCAGAGGAACCTGCTGGATTTGTAAATAATCTAAAATTCTTCTAGCTGATCTTTGACTCTTAGGTTTTGAGCTTATGATTTAAAATGGGAAATATAAGAGTTTTTTCTGTATACTGTATTTTTAAAAAAAAATAATTTGTGCAGTGTGGCCAAACCCACCAATTTTATGCATTAACTTTGAAAAATTGTATGGTGTCTAGAAGGACCTGAAATGTAAGCGCTATTCATTTTTCTTCTGGGGTTTACTGATCGGTGTGGTAATTTTAACTTCATTTAGTAATTACTCTAGGAGATTTTACCTTTACTTATATTTTTCATGACGTTTCATGATTTGCTGTTGGTTTCAAATGAAACTACAAATCTGACATGTTTTACTGTGAACACTTTTTTTTTGTTTGTATGCTTTTTTTTTTGTCCTTTCTGTTTGAATGTCTTATGAAAAACATGAGTCCCTCCCCCTGTTTTTGTTATCCTCTGATCTCCCTCTCTCCTACCCACAATCTATCTTTAATGTAATTGTTCATATCAATCAAGGTGCTGACCAACTCAATACAAAGTTAAAACACACAATCCAAAGCTCTCAAAAGTGCCCATGAGGAGAAGACTCTATGTGTGTTAATGAATTTAATGAGTCTGGCAAAAGTTGAAAATGATATGCAATTTTATCTTACCACTTATAAATATAGTGATTCGCTGGATTTATATTATGCTGTGTTATATTAAATTGAATTATCCTATGATGAAATGCCTTCATCCATGTAATCCTTGTGCATGAAGTTTGGAACTTATTGGGAAAAGCTTCCCAGCAGATGAACTGTCACATGAAAGGGAAGTCATGCATTGAATGTCAGGTAGTAATAACTCTTTTGTATGTTTATGTACCTAGATGCTTTGTAACAAGACATCTTAAATAATAATGTTAATTTTTTTCATTTTTAATATTTTAAACTGAAAACTGTACTTTCACCCCAGTTTCTAAAATTAAAAAATAATTTATAATACTGATCTATATATATWTTTTTTCTTTTTTGAGAGATTCCTTTAAGACTGATGGGTAACTTTCAAGTGAGGGTCTTGTACATAGAACACATGAGATCTTATGATCTTTTGAAGAGCAGTGCAGTTGCTCCATGATAATGTTCCCTTTTCCACCTTTTGAGCGCCACCTTTAATTTTGAGATCTTCAAATCTTGAGGAAGTTGATACTAATTGAAAAATTCACTTGTCTGGTTAAAATAAAACCCATTTCTGTTGTGATGTTTTTAGTGTATATGTTATTTTCATTTCTTAATCTTCATCTTCATATTATCTGCTTTGTACTGTAAAATGACTCTGTGTTGTACTTTTTTGCTCTACATTTCATAATTTGAGGCTTTAATGAGTGTGGTAAGATCCAAAAGTGTCTTTAGTTGAAGCTGTAGCCCCTTATACGACTGACTCCTTGACTGACTCCTTAATGTTACTGCTGTATTCAGTCATTCCAAAGGAGTTAGTAATTTGCTCATCACAAATACATTTTATCAGCTCTTGCCTGGCTTACAAAAATTCAAGCAACTAAGAGTGGGTATTCTTGAAAATGATATTATCTAAAATTAGTGCCTTTCATAGTCTCTTATCAGGAAACAGCAGACCTTGGATCTGCAGATCATGGTTCTACAAAGGAAATCAGGGCAAGTTAGTGTGACTCTATGTACTTTGGTTTTGTTTTGGGCACTGGGTGCTGACCCCAGGAACACATTACCACTGAGCTACGTCTCTAGTCCTTTTTATTTTTTTATTTTGAGGCAGGGTCTCACTAAGTTGTTGAGGAGTTTGCTAAGATATGAGGCTGGTGTCCAACTTAGAATCCCCCTGCCTCAGCGGGGAATACAGGCGTGGATCATCATGCCCAGCTGACTATATGTACTTTTGATTATTTATTTTACTTGATCTCTCATTACAAACATTTAAAACATGGTTTATCTGAGGAAATACATTATTTCATTATATAAATATCAGTTGGCTACATGTAGCCAGCCTATTTCACTTGAATTACAGAAATTTTCTTTTAGAGTCAACACCACAGAGAAATTTGGCAAAACTAAGAATTTTCATCTTGCACTGTGTGAAATCAGGTGGATCAGGTGGCCCAGACAGTGAGTTTTTATTGTGAGACAGCTATCATACAATATTGTTTGGATGTGGCTTGGCCAGTTACTAGCTGTGTAGGCAAGTTGCTAAACCTCCCTATTTTCCTCACCTGTAAAAATAGGACAAGTAATTGTTTTACAACCACATTAAAGGAGGACAAGGGTTAACACACAATAAATGCTTTTTCATGTTAGCAGTAATAAAAATATGTATATGTTTTACACTAATGCATTAAATCAGTGATTTCTCACCTTCTGGGATGAGGAAGTTGATGCTAATTTGAGCGTGGAGCTATTTTACAGATCTCTACACACCAGTACATATCCTCATTGCTCATTCACAATTCCAAAATCCCAAACTTAAAGAAATTTACCTTGATAGCTAACTTGGTAGCAAAAACTGATTTGAGCATTATTTATCCCAAATAATGGGACTTTTCACATGCTTTGTTGCTGAGCATTAATGTATTTGATTATAGGGTACTCACCCTACATTTTGGGGGTATTAAGTAATAAATGATTCTGACTTTTTAAAAAATTTCTTTTAGTTGTAGACGGACATAATACCTTTATTTAATTTTTTTATGTGGTGCTGGGGATCCAACCCAGTGCCTCACAAATGCTAGGCAAGCACTCTACCACTGAGTCACAACTCCACCGCCCGATTCTGACTTTTGAAAATATATCTGAACCTAAGAACTTCAGATAAAGAGATGTAGCTTCTGCAGTACAAATAGATTCAGAGTTCCCTGGTAGGGAATTATTCTTTTATTATTATTATTAATATACAAGGAGTATAGAAGTTACTCTGTACCAGGAAGGAGATGAAGACCAAGAGCATTAGAGATTACATACAGAGATTATAACACCTGCTGTCCAGGAGAGAAGGACTGCAGTCTTAAGCCAAAGCATATAATAATGAGCCACAAGTGGCATTCATTTATTCATTCATTCACAAATATTTATGGCAGTAAACAAAATGAAGGCCCACAATCACAGAACTTATATTACTCAATATATAATATAATGTTAGGTCAGTACTATGAAAAAAGAGGTAAACTAGGATACAGAGATAGGGAGGGGATAACTACTGAGGAAAATGAGAAAGGGAGAAATTCCTTTGGTTCATGTRGTTAAACATAACCTCTCAGAGGAGGTGACCTTTGATCAGAGTTGAATCAAGTTGGGAACACACTGTAAATACCTTGGAAATGTTTTGTTTTGTTTTGTTTTTCACTCACAGAAAATGAGAATGGGAGTTTGGAGGATCTGCAAGGAGGCCAAATGTGTAGGGTAAAAAATGGGAGGAGTGGTAGGAAATGGAGTTTTAGGAGTAGCCATGGGCCAAGTCCTATAGGAAGTCTGTGAGGTAGAGAGTGGCACTGGAAGGAGGGCATGGTCCAAGGGTTTCTCCTTGTGAAGGGTGCTAGAAAAGACTTCATAGTCTTATCCAATGAATAGGGGCTATCAGGTGGGACAGGAGGGAAGGGCTTCCCAAGCAGAGGATGCTGGGTAAGCAAAGCTCTGAAGGAAGAAACAGCCTGGCTTCTTCAAGAAACGGACGGGTACGCTTTGGCTGGAGCCTTGTTCATGAGGGAGAAAGCAGATTATGGGAGAGAGGAAACCAGACCCACTGCTGAAGGACTCGTATTCCATGCTAAAGATATTAAACTTTTCCGTGGTCAGTTTGGAACCATCAAAGGGTTTCAAGTAAAGTGAAAATGGAAATACTCTGACTTCAAAATGATAGAACAAAGTATCCTCTTGAGGCAACTGAGTAAACTAAGCATTGTGATTTTGAACACAACGCTATTTAGTTATCAGGCTTATTTCCCCTATTGAGCTATACCTCATGCAGTAGCTGCACTGGACCATGTTTTCTTTGTAACTGAGGTTATGTGAGAATTTCCTAGAGGATGAAGACTGCTCATAGCTACAACTTCAGCATGAGCATAGTCAGTGAACAGGAAAGTTTCAACACCAGGGACAACCATAAATTCTTATCATTTGCAAGAATTGTTAAAGATAATTATCCTCTCAGTGATCAGAAGATGACTCCAAATTTGTGAAGAATATTTAGTTATGGCACATTGTTTAATGGTTCTATTAAGTGCTCATTCATTTTCTTTTTTTTCGATATTTACCGAATGTCTATGACATGGAAGCATGAGTAGCATTCAGGCAGCATTTGGTTGTAAAGAAGACAACTTACTAGGTTCCTATTTTCATTGGGCTTATGTTCTGGTGACAGAGACTTTAAACATATAACCAACAACAACAACAACCAAAAAAAAAAAAAAAACACGAATACACCAGGAAGCCATTAGTGCTACAAAGAAAAGAAACAGGTTGTATTAGTCAGGTTTTCCATCATTCTGACCAAAATGCTTGATAAGAACAATTTAGAGGAAGAAAAGTTTATTTTGGCTCACAGTTTCAGAGGTTCACTTTGTGGTTAGCTAGCTGACTCTATTGCTCTGGACCCAAGGTGAGGCAGAACACCCTGGGGGAAAGACCTGRTAGAGAAAATTTGCTTCGTTCATGACAGCAAGATACAGAAAAAGAGAAAATGAGAGGGAGGAAAGGGCCACAGGAAAGATGAACCCTTCCATGGCATGTTCCCAGTGACCCACTTCCTCCAGTCATGCCCACTTGCCTATAGTAACCACTTGGTTAGTCCATTCAACGTAGGATGGACTGGTTAGGTGTAACCTAATCAGCTCACCTCAGGCTATTCCTGCATTAACACAGGAGCTCTTGGAGAACACCTCATATCAAAATCATAACACATGTGAAATGATAGAAGAGGAGGGACTTCCCTGGGCAGACAGTTGCTGGATGCAGATATGATTAAGTCATGGTCTCAGTTTTTGAGGAATGACAGGTTCACCTTGCTTTCATTCTTGCCACCTCCCCAGTGAAAAGGAAAGGTGTTTTTAGGAAACCATTTGATAGATGATTCATTTTCTTTTTATTTTAGTTAGAATATTTGTTCACATACACATTTATAATCAAGTAGGATATAAATTTCATAATACATCTATTTTTGGTACTCATTTCATGAAATAATTATTTTAATTGTTCACTTAAATCTTCATTGTTGGATGCCAGATTCACTCAAGAGCACAATTTAAGCACTTTTTGAATCTATGCATGTCAGTCTTTTTTTCCCCCAGCAAAGCCACAGCATTTCTTCTCATAATGAGCTCACTTATTCCATTTTCAAAAAGGTGTCTACTGGTGATACAGTGTAGCATTTATGTAGAGCCCTTTAAAATCAACTTTAAAATGCTAGTTTACAAGCATTCATCACTTGCAATACAAAAATAAAGATAATTTGCATTAAATATTTGTTTCTTTTTTATTCACTCTTAACAGGTACCCACATATTCTAAACTAGAATCAATTAAGAAGACTTAGTTAATCTTTTAAACAAGTAGCTCTCAACCAATCCACAAAGAAAGGTCATTTTCTTTTTAGATTTAAAATTTTTAAGCTTTTTTTTAAAAAAAAAAAAATTTATGTTTATATTGTGATCAGATTCAATCCAGGGCCTCCTACATACTAGGCAAGCACTCTACCACTAAGCTATATCCCCACCCCCAAATTTTCATTATCATAGCATAAGACTATGAACAATAGGAGTAGCCAAGTTTTCTTTTTTCTTGTTCCATTTCATTTTGAGCATAATGTCTTCCCAGAAAGGGTAAAATGATGGAGGAAAAATGTGTTGAAGACCTGCATGCCAAAAATGTCTWAAAACATTTTTGTTATAACTTCATACCCAATGGACAGTTTGGCAGGTATAGAATTTACAATATTTATTTTGCCTT